CTCAGCGGTTTAGCACCTGCCTTCGGCTCAGGGGGTGATCCTGGAGACCCGGGATCGAGTCCCACATCAGGCTCCCTGCATGGAGCCTGCTTCTTCCTCTGCCAGTGTCTCTGCCTCTCTCAGTGTGTGTCTCTCATGAATAAATAAATAAAATCTTAAAAAACAAAAAACAAAAAACGTTCACAGCATGTTTACTCATAGTGGCCAAAAACTGTCTTGGAGACTACTCCAAAGTAGATGTGCAAAGGACTGAGAAAGTGGGTCACTCTACAAAGTTCTGGTTTACAGCTAACTCTATATTGCCTGCATGGCAAGGGAAAGATAGGGAAACAAGAACCAAAAGGAGTCTTCAGTGACCTATTCTTGGGACCTCAGCTCTGGATCTGGGAACTTGAAAGGTTGCTCAGTCAGCTCCCCTGTCGCAAACCCTCGGGTGGGTTCATGCTTCATTAGCTAAATGTGGTTCCCAAACTGGCTGATCTTCAGAACCACCTGGGAAATGTGGGCAAAAGGAGATTCCTGGAACCAGGCCACTGAATCAGAATTTTGGGAGAGACTCGGACAACTATGTAAAGATTATATCCACCAGATGTTTCTAATGATCATTTCGGTGTGGGAATCACTGCAACTATTTCGCTGGAGGGCTAATGCCTACTGCCCACTTTGGTTGCCATAACGAGTGAATTCAATTGAACAATTATCAGCAGACCTTCAGGCATGCATCTTCTTATACACTGTCCCCAGAACCATCACTTAGGCAAGATTAGGTTGCATTTTATTCCCCCTCTGCTTCCTAGCCTTCAAAGAGGAAATGGAAATACGACAAGGAGGTAGAGACAGAAAAAAAAAAAAAAAAAAAAGTAGTGGGATAAAAAAAAAAGCAACAACAATAAAAAAGATGTTAAGTGGTTGAGGAGAAATGTGAGCAGAGAGTGTAGAACTCACTGCAAAGGTCAGACAAGAATTTAAATTAAATCTACACAACTGGAAAACCTTAGGACAGATGTGTCTAATTTTACCTTATATTTTGACCCAGCTTAATTATATCTATTTGACCCAGTTCAATTATATTCCATTGCTGACTTCAAAAAGAATATTCAACACTCAAAGCAGAGGTGCCAAATTCATTTAAGCTGTGGCTACATGCTGTTTGGCCTTCCTTCCTCCCTCTGCTGCTTTCTTCTTAACTCTTTGCAGTCCACCCTTTATTACACAAAGCGATACATCTTGAATCAGTCCTTCCGGGGCTACAGTCGTTGGGCAGCTCGTGGCTGTAGGTCCCTTCCTGTAGGTCCCTTCCTAAGCCTTACTTATCCTGAGCGTTCTGCAGCCCCCAAATCCACTTATAGTCCCTCTTTCTTTACTATCTGTGTGCCCTGACTACCTCAATCTAGACTGTTCTATTCCATCCCTTCATGTGGCCAGCATCTGTTACTAAGGGTAGTTTGGTGATCAGTGCTGCATGCTCAACACAGGCCTAAGTGCTGGGCTGCAAACCCGAGTGGCGCCCAGACCCTGCCATCAGGAGGCTGGGTTTAGTGTGACATTCTCCTTCCTTATTGTCCAATGTAGTTAGTCTCTGTTCCCAATTCCCTGACTCATCAGCCTCCTGTTAAGCATGAGCATACCTGAAGTTCCCACAGGCCAAGCTCTTGTCTGCTCTTGGGTTTTCCCTCAGGGAGTTCAGCTATTTTTGAAGTCGAGCCCCAGTTAAGGACCACTAGCCCTGAGCTTCTGCGACTGCTGTGGTCTAAGCCAAGCCAGCCTTCCGTTTCAGCAAACACGTGCTGCTTGGTCTAAATTGGGCCTCTTGCTGGTCTTCAAACACGCCCTTCCTAGTCCTAGCCCTATTTCCACTGTTGGAAAACTCCTCTCCCTAAGTGCCGATAGGACAATCACCCATTCTTTAAGCCCATTCCAAAGGCCCTCTTTTGCTAGATGACTCTCCAATTCCTCTTTCATTTCCTGAAACTAGATGTATGCTCTTTCTTCCTCTTTATGCCCAGGCCACGGTGTGGTCATAAGCCTCTCACATTTTGTCGTGAAAATGTGCCTAGGGGCACCTGAGTGGCTCAGTCGGTTAAGTGTCTGCCTTCAGCTCAGGTCAGGATCCCGGAATCCTGGGATGGAGCCCTGCATCAGGCTTCCTGCTCAGCAGGGAGTCTGCTTCTCCCTCTCCCTCTGCCTCTTCCCCAGATTGTGTGCTCACTCACTTTCTCTCTCTCAAATCAATCAATCCATCTTTAAAAAGAAAAAAGTGTCTATATTACCCTGCACCCCAGCCTGAGACTCCAGTGACTGTCCTTTTGAGCCGTCTCCCCGATGTTGCCTGGCTTACATGGATGTTCATAACCATATTCTACATACTACTGTGCTGAGCTAAAATCCACAGATTCAGAAAAATCATGACCACAGCTACCTTTGCTACCCTTCTGGTCCATCACCATGCTTTTTGAGAACCACCTTTAGGAAATAGGATTTTCAGCATCAAAAAAAAAAAAAAAATTTTTTTCCATGACATGTCTTAGTTTGTAGATAACTAAGATGTCCCTCTCTAGTTGGGAATAAGATGATGGTTGTCGCACTTCTAAGAGGCTGCTTGTGATGAGCTCTGGAGGAGGAAAGCCAGATAACTGGGTTCCATCTCAGGTCCTTTACTCATTCCCTATGTGACATCAGCTCAGCTAGTTATCATTTCAGAATCTCAGTGAAGTAACGTTAACCTTCTATAGAATTGATGGGGAAATGAACAGTATATATATTTTTGTAAATTTATAGTTTTATATTTTCCTTATGTATGATTGCTCTAGTCTTAATGTGCTACAAGGCAGGAGAATCCAGCCCGCAAGGAACATTGTTGAAGATATTATAGTAGATCTACAAATGGGGTTTTTGGTACCATAAACTATCATCAAATTTTAAGATATTTAGATGTTCTTTTTAGCCACTGTGATCTTTAAAAAAAAAAAAAATTAAGAAACTATCCAAAGAACAAGACTGAGCAGATTACAGTGCTGGGTCAGAGGAGAGAGGAAGAGCGATCTGTCTGCCACAGCAATGGGCCAGGGACCCTCAAAACCTCAGAACTCTGGTACTCCAGGAACACCCGTTGAAAACCACTGCTTTAAATCCCTGCAGATTATAATTTTCTCACTTGGAAGGCTTTTAAAATTAGACTTCACTTGGGCTGCCTGGGGGGAAGGGGGATGTTCAGAGGTTTAGTGCCACCTTCAGTCCAGGGCCAGATCCTGGAGACCCGGGATCGAGTCCCACATCAGGCTCCCTGCAAGGAGCCTGCTTCTCCCTCCCTCCCTCCCTCCCTCCCTCTCTCTCTCTCTCTCTCTCTCTCTGTCTCTCATGAATAAATAAATAAATAAAATCTTTAAAAAAAATAGACCACAAAGAATTCAATACTATTCTTTGTAAAAGCATGGAAAGCCAAGAATACAGGAATAGCTACACAGACAAATGGGGCCACTGAACACGGTAGGCATTTATGAGCAGGATATGCAGGTGCATGTGGAATTTAGAGTTTCACAAAAAGTGCAGGCATTTAACTCCCCTAGGTGTTTATATGCCTCCTCAAGTTTTGAGTGAATGGGGAAATTTACTTTCACTACTGTTTTAGACTTTGTACATGCTGGATGCAACAGTATAAAATGCATGTGACAAGAAGCGGAAGGAATCAACTAAACATGCAAGTAGGAAGGTAACTGGGAATGAGATAATAGGTCATTAATCTTGTAAAATTCTTTAAAGTTATTCTTAAATCTCCACTTTAACAACAACAACAAAGATACGTATATTGGAGTTGCGAAAGTTACACCAGCAAAAAACCCCATTCCTTTTGATGTCTCAAATTACTCTGGTATTGATCCTACCTATGCCACTTAACCAAGCCCAGCCAAACCAACCCAACCCCATGTAACCAAATCTATCCAAACAGCAGCAGCAGCAGCAAAATGAGTTAAATCAGAAGTGAAATATCCTTCATTGAATATAATCTAGATTCAATATTTTTTTAGAACACATGAGGTTTGGGGTCACTTTTCCTTTTCATGCAGCTTAGACTTACCAAAGATTCTAAAAAGACATATCTAGGGAACAGTCACCTTTTGCTTTACAGTATCTTGAAAGGGTCTTCTAGCATTTACCTAGAAAATCTCTGTTAGCAAGTTTAATCTATAAGGAAATTCTAACTTATTTTTTTAATATACATAACTATTTGAAAAATTAAAGTTTAATGCAGATTAAAGTTTGCAACAAAGGGTGAATACTGGGGAAAAGGACATTTAATGGGCTTGCTACTGTGGAACTGTAATTTAGAAAAAGGGGAACACAAGGAAACATGAGCTTAGTTGATAAAACATGAATGTGTCACTCATCTGGAAATATATTCAATCAGAAAATAAACAAGATAAGAAAAAAACCCTCTATATTTATTCAGTCATAATTCACAAGCCATTTTACTTTAGAAAAAAATTAAATTTTGATAAAAGAAACAACTGTCAGATAAAAGAGGTATACCTCAAAAGTCTGGGGTAGTTTTACATAATCAAATAACATAAATAACAGATAGAGATGACTCAAAAATAATCTATAAGCCTATTTTCTAGTTTTGGTAATTTTTTCATGTCTAGTGATATTTGTTTTATATTAATATAGGTAAAATACTACATGTGCTATTTTTCCCTAAAATATGATATAGTGTTTCATAAAAATTATTAAGAAAAATACATGATGATGATTGATGCTAACTGATGAAAGCTGATTGGTTCTAAAACCAAAGAAAACCATGGATGCATTAAAAATATTTTCTATTAGATTTTTTTTAAATAATGGGAAAAGAAAGTAATGAAATAATCTTTGAAGACTCAGAAATTCGTAGTGACATTTGGATTTAAGTATCATATAAAATCTTTATGTTATAACTTTTCCATCAACAAGATATAAAGAAAGTAAAAAGTTCCCATCAATATCTTTTAATTTTTGGAACTTACTTTCAAAATCCAGGAAAAAATGTGGATAGTTTTCAATTTCCCTGGTAAGGACTTTGAGCAGGTTTCCCATCCCAGCAAACCTAGGAGAGGCAACACAAAACCAAATACCATTAGCAGGATGAAAAAGACTTTTTTTTTTTTTTTAAGAAAACAGGCTTCTTAAAGGGTTGGACCTATATAGCTAACTTGCATAAATCACATCAGACCCCCCCAATAGTTGCATCTGAAGACTAGATATAAAGCATCTCCATACCAGGTGATGACTAATAACTTAGTAACTTCTTCCTGAATCAGGTACAGACAAATATCTCTGAGGTGCTGGCTCTCTCAATGTTAGGGGTATCTGGTATAAACCATATAAAATATGATGGTGAGAAGAATGTCACAAACTGCCTCTGGAGAATACACTTGTGTCTTGTATCTCATTCACTATAATGACAATTAATCAAAGAACACTCTATTCTAAGAATCAAGTATTTTTAGTTAAAGGAGGCAGAGCTTAGGTATATTCTACATTGTTTCCTTTCCCCCTTCACCAATTCCCTGAATCTTTACATTAAATCCTTCAGCATTGCTTTGTTTCCTTTCCCACTCCCGTGGGAACATACCATGTTAATGGACAAGCAAGATGATGAGGACATTATTAAAATACTGTCCAGAAAGGAAAGTTTCTTAAAATTCCTGAGGAAAAGAATTTAGAATACACAGATTTAGCTCCCCAGGCACCCTGTGTGGTCTGTACAGGAGACCAGATTTTCCAGAAATGCAACTTCTTGGCAAGGTAGAGGTCTCATAATTTGACATTTCAGGGGAAACAAGAATGGCTACTTCATGAAGTGCAAACATGAAAAGGTATTTATTTAATCCAAAAAGTTATTTTCAATGAAATTACAGTGTAATTGCATGGGGGAATCAAACGAACAGAGAAATACAGATCTGATACATATTTGCAATCCTAACTTAAAAAAAAAAGAATAGGGAAAACATAATTATATTTAGGTAATCAGCAAAATTTCTACTGCTCTCTGCTCTAGAGATTAAACTATCTTCTTCAGGAGGCCACTGGTCCATTCACTCATTCAGCACATATTCACGGAGCCACACTTTGATTCTGGGTCCTATGCTCATTGGAAGGCATTTCCCTAACACATGACTTAGACACCTCAGTTTGTAAAGGATCAACTCGAAAAATCATTGGGCCAGTAAAAAAAAACTGCAGGGTTGCAGTTTCCTGTGCACAGGGCTTCAGACAGTGTTTATGCTGATACAGGAATTCCTAAAATTACACCACTATAAGAAAGATGTGAGAAGAGGAGAGAGCTTTGTGTGAGACAGTCTGTAGCCAGCAGTTAGCTCCCTTGGATGCAAAAGGTGATATTCTAGTTCTCAATCCTCCCCTGAGAAAACACTCCCACACATCATCCATTGCATAGGTCGATGGTGTGAAGCCAGAAAAGAGGCTGTGGAAGCCTGATTTTGACCCTAGTACTGTGTCCTGTTACCTCTGCTACCCAGAGCAAGCTGCTTTATCTCTCCAAACCTCAGTATTCCCATCCATAAAATGAATTTTTGAAATGTATTTAATCGAATCTTGAAGATTAATGAGATCAAAATATAAAATGCTTAGCACATCACTTATAGGAAGTGCTCAAGAAATGTATGTACTACAACTATGGATAATGATGATGATAATTACCACCGTCATCATTATCATGATTAGAACACCCTTCAAATTTTTATTTAGGATTATCCTATGGAAGATGGATTAATAGGTTGTATGCAGCTCTAGGGAAGAGAGGTGGGGTCACTGAAGGACTAACTCAAGATCTTTATTCAATGTCATGAAAAAAGAAATGTAACCAGTCCAGTTGTCTGAATATTGAGGGATTTGCCTTGTGAAATAGTGAGTTTCCTGTAACCAGTGGTGTCTAAGGAGAAATGTGCTCTATCAACTTGTAAAAATAATATAAAAATGAATTACGTGTTGGGCAGAAGGTCAGACAAGATACTTCTTAGACTTCTGCCCTCTTGAGGTATATGACTGGGCATGCACATACACATGTGTGCACACACATACACACGCCTATGCACACACGCACAGCACACATGCTAGGAAGCAAACACCATGTTTCTCCCAAAAGAATCTTCCCTGTTCTTTCTGTCATTTTTCTCTTCCTCTCGTGCCTTTACGCACATTTATTTTAAAGATATTTTTGAGCAAAGCTCTGGATGAGCTAGATCCTGCCAAATTAAAGCTCAGAACTGGTGTAGTCCACCCCTGCCACTGGGCATCATTCACAAACCCTCCTGGGTCTCTTGGAAGGAATCTGTTTCCAGCTTAATGACCAATTCCAATTCAGACCCGGAGACGCTTCTGGTAGGAAGATGATTCTACTGTTTAGCAGCAGTCCCAACTTTCACATAAAATGCCTTAATGGAAGTTAACTATTCTTGATTTTCCTGGTTTTGCACTATTAATGTGTCGCAAGAGACCTGAATGGATTTAGCTTCCTCCTAAAACTCTGTCTTGTGCGTGATTTTACTGTCAGACTACCTGGGTGGGAAATATGTCAGGCCTTTAAAATTAGTAACAGACTGGAAGGAACAAATGTAGAAGTACAAATATCAGCTGGCTACAGAATTCTTTCTGTTCAAAAGGTCATTTAAGCTGGCTGGTTGATATGGTCAAACATTTTCCAACATGATCCTAATATCAACTGCGGTCAATTAAAGAACACTCAGTACTCTAGATGTTTCATATCCTCAATAGGAACCATCCGGAATGATGACTATAGGACACTATGTAGTATTAGGGGCAAGTCCAGTCCCATGGACTTTGAACCTGCATTTCAATACACACTCTTCCAATAAGTACAGAAGGATTTGATGCTTCCCACTTCTCTTCAAGATCAACAAGAATTCATGGAAGTGTATTCTGGTTTAAGGTCTGCAAAATGAGTTAACATGACACAGACGGTCACTGAGAAGAGATCCTGGGGGTCCACTTGGAGGGGATCCTCATCCATGGGGTTCCACCAGAGCCTCAGCCATAATCCTCATGGCAGTGACTCTGCAGTCTTTGCAAATAGCTCCTCAGTGCATATAAAATACATTTCTATGTAGCATGTCACTAGTGAGCTGGTTTAATTCATTAATGGGAAGGTTATTTTTAATATTTTATCTTGTGCAATAAAAGAACCTACGATACATTATTATACATAATTATAGAATGCAAATACTTATATGGCAAAAGTGGGGAGAGGAGAAAAATTAAAGTAGACTAGGAAGACGAAGGTAGACAGGCAAGCAGTATGTGAATTATAGGTCATCTTGGCCATAAGGACTTCCGTTGAGTTCAGAGGAGTGTTTGATTTGGACCTGAGCTTCTGCTAGCCAGAGCAAAGGAGAAGAAACCATCCCTTCCAAGATTTAGTGTTCCCAAAACAAAAACAAATGGGTTATGCTGAAGAAGCAGAGTTTTGTGTTTTGTTATTTTTTGGTGTTTGCCTTTTGTGTTTGTTTTGTTTTGTTTTTGTTTTGATAGAAAGAAAAAAGGAAAAATTGATCATAACTAAGAAACAGTTGAGAAAAGAGAAATCTCTGGCTAAGGGCAGACAGGGGAAGTCATTCATATCTGAGGAGGAGCCAAGCTTTAGAGCTCCCGTGGGTACAGAAATGGTTTCGCAGCTGAATGGGTGGCAGAGCAGCTTGGAGGCAGTCCAGGGCTGTGCTTAAGAAAGTGGGGACTCTCGTTTCCACGTTGTATTTGGTAACACCACAGCTACAGACCTGCTGCTGGGTCTGTCCCAAGGGATGCCAGCTACTTGCCATTCTCCCTTATGGTGCGGGAACTTAGAAAGACTACAGAAAGCCAGCAGGTGCTCCGCGTCTCCTCGGAGGACCTTAACCCAAGTCACTTAAATGGATGATAAGCATTCTGAAGATGATTCTTGGCAGTGTTCATAAGAAGAAACTGTTTACGTAAGTTCAAGGGATAGGAAAGTTCTCCCTTGTAAGAGGGAGAGGAGAACCAATTTGATGGAGCGAAGTATAGCTAAAAATGTAGATGTTCAAGTACTAAAATACTAGAAACAGAAGTCACAAAGGAGGATGGTAAGAGGGATTGCAGGCATAAAAGGGATCAAATAATATAGAGCATATTTATTCTGAAAAGAGTATGTTGTCTATGGTGTGAGGTGTAGGCTTACTTTAAACACACACACAGACAACTCCTTTGGCATCTTCAGATATCATCCTAAAGTGAAGCCTTCCTGGGACTTGCTATAGCTACAGTGTGCACCTGAGTGTTGTGAGATCTGAATTCATTTCTTCGAGAAGAGACTGGCAGGGGTGCAGCAAGGGAAGAGAACCCAGGGGCAGGTAAGAGGTCTTAGCTGTCAGATAAAAAGAAAGGAAAGGAATATCAGTTGGATAAGTGCTTATTAAGGGGTGAGCCCTGAAAATACACTCTCTGACTCTTTTACTTGAGAGGTCTCTTGCTTTTGGACACCTAGCATTCATTGGAAGGTGGTTCTCTTTCCATCGGTTACCACTCTGGATGGCCTTTTGGTCTTAGGGGTACCAGTCTTCTTCCATGGCTGGATTTTCCCAGGACTACCTCTTCTCTACCAAAGCAAAGGTCCACTGGGTACTTGGCCATGTTGACTTTAGCTTTTGGCTGGACCTGTTTTCCCATGGCATTGTAAGCTAGGATTCACTGATAAAGACTAAGACATGGTCTTGAGAATCGGAAGCACAGTGTAGGTCAAATAACAACATGGCCAACTGATGTTCTCAAAAGATGTATAGAGTAAGTAGTAGATTTTTCACACAGAAAAATTTGAAAGAACTGCTCAAATATAAAGTGCCATCCAATTCTCCCATTATTCTGGTGCAATTCATTTCAGCTGTGAGCCTTGGGTTCCTCATCTTACATAATAACATCTTCTGTGTGATGTTGTTGTAAAAACTATATAAAATGAGTGTGAAAAGATTGTGTATACTGCAAAATGCCATGCAAATATTAGCTACAATTATTCAGCATTACCACTCATTTTATGGTTTAAGAAATTCAGAAAAT